GAGAATCTAAACACAAAAACCCCAAAACCCCAAAACCCCAAAACCCCATTAGTGTAAATAACGAGTATTATGCAGGTTGGTTGATAATTGAAATACTTTAATATAAATTAGTACAGTATCATCATGATGTTTAAACTTCCCAGCTAAGATGATAGCGAAGATAACTCGTCTTTGAAGTTCGACCTCACACTTAAATAATAAAACACAGAGCCTATGAATAGAGCAAAAGATGACGGTTCAAACAGTGGAGAATCCGGTGACGATATCAATAAAGGTAATTATTTCACTTCTCTAATTAAAGACTTACAGCAAATGGAAAAGTAACCGGATTTTTAAAGATGAGCTTTGAAGATCTCAATAAGGATTTCAGGCTACCAGATACATATAGAAAGATTAAGAAGCTTGGTGCTGGAGCATATGGCAAAGTTATCCAGGTATCATACTTACCTACAAAGAAGAATTACGCTATAAAGAGATTTGAAGAAGTATTTACACGAGAGCTAAGAGCACGAAGACTGTTGCGAGAGTTAACCATTTTAAAAAATGTTTAGCACCCATGCTTGAATAAACTTAAATGGGTTATACCACCTGAAGATTTCGATAACTTTAATGAAGTTTATCTTGTATTAGATCCTTGTGATATGGATTTAAAAAAGTTACTGAAGTCATCTAAGCATTTACAGGAAGTTTAGGTTAAGTCAATTATATACGACATACTATGTGGACTTAACTACCTGCATAAATGTCAAATCATTCATAGAGACCTTAAGCCAGGAAATATTCTAGTGAATGATGACTGCACCATATAAATATGCGATTTTGGACTAGCAAGAAGTTTAAAAGGTGTATTTGACAAAGGAGTGGATGTTTTTTTCAATCCTAATAGTTAAATATAATCAGTTGAAACTGAAGAGGAGGATGTTTAAACAGCAGCCTCAACAGCATTGCATAAAGGGGAAAATGGTTCAATAAATCTGGATGTAGCAGCCAAGAATGATTAGATGGTAAATTTACTAGACATAAATGATAGTAATGATATTTTAAGTGAATAGCAGATAGAACAGCAAAAATAAAAAATAGAGGAATTAAAGGAAGAATAAAAAGTATAAACATCTATAACAAAACCTTCGTCCCTTGCAAAAACTAAATTAACAAAAACAAAAGGTGTCAGGTTCAATGAACCCTAAGGTAATAATAATGATCAGCAATAATAAAGACCATCAATGAAAGGAAAATAACTAACATAGCATGTGGTCACTAGGTGGTATCGTGCACCAGAAGTTATTCTCCTTTAAGATGCATATACATCTGCAATAGATATCTGGTCAGTTGGGTGCATTTTTGCAGAATTATTAAGTATGATGAAGGAAAATTTTGCAACTGTCTTCGATAGACAGCCGCTCTTTCCAGGAAATTCATGCTTTCCACTTTCACCTGGAGCATCTTAAAACCCAGATGATGATATAAAAGAATTCGCAAATGATAAACTAAAAAATGACTAACTATCTAAGATATTCGAGGTGATAGGAACACCAGGAGTAATGGAAGATCTAGAATTTATAAAACAAGATAACGCCATTAAATATATCAAGAGTTTTCCAAGAAGAGAGAAGCAAGATTTATCTGAAAGATATCCTGGCACTGACCTGAAAGGAATTAATATATTGTACAAGATGCTTGAGTTCAACCCAGCTAAGAGAATAGAAGCTGTGGAGGCTCTAAAGGATTCGTACTTTGATGAAGTAAGGATCCCTGAGCAAGAAAATTTTTAACCTAATGAGATCGATCTAACCTTTGACAATGACGAGCTCTCAGTTGAAGAAGTTAAACAACTAGTCATTAGCGAAATTAAAAGATGCATTTAAATTTGACTTTCCTTTGCAAATATTTATTATCAATATTCAGTTCAGGGGTTTTGGGGTTTTGGGGTTTTGGGG